ATCCGCGCTCTCCCCGAATTCGAAGCTGCGACCTATCGGTCTTCAGTCCTGCCGGCACAAAGGTTTAGCCCACTGTGCTACCAGTGGCTCCTCGAAGAAAAAGATGATTGGGCTGAAGGCAAGAAGTACTTTTGCCTCCACATCATTTCAGCAAGTATATTACTCCACACAGCTCTGAAATGTGTCTTGAAATGGAGAAATGGGGATATAAATGATGAAGGAGGTGATGATGAAGGCAAGGAGTATGTTTGCTGCCATACCATTTGAGCAAATACTGTATATTACTCCACATAGTTCTGAAATGTGAGTCCTGAAACAGAGAAAAGGAGGGATATACGGCACTCCATATGACCCTGAAGGTGTTATAGAACTATAGAATAAATGAAATGAACTATCACAGATACATAGAATCAAAGAGTTGGAAGAGACCTCATGGGCCATCCAGCCCAACCCCCTGCCAAGAAGCAGGAAAATTGCATTCACAGCACCCCCGACAGATGGCCATCCAACCTCTGTTTCAAAGCTTCCAAAGAAGGAGCCTCCACCACACTCCGGGGCAGAGAATTCCACTGCTGAGCAGCTCTCACAGTCAGGAAGTTCTTCATGTTCAGATGGAATCTCCTCTCTTGTAGTTTGAAGCCATTGTTCTGTGTCTATGGACAATGCCGGCTCTTCGGCTTAGAAATGGAGATGAGCACCACCGACTAGACTTAAGGTCAGGTGAAACCTTTACCCTTACTATACATTATGAAGGAGCTGTTGATAATCAAAGCAAGGAACACTTTTACCTCCGTGTCATTTGAGCAAACATATTACCCTGCACAGTTCTAAAACGTGTGTCTCCAAATGGGAAAAGAGAGGAAGATAAATGATGATGATGATGGTGGTGGTGGTAGTAGTAATGTTTTGTTTTTGTTTTGTTTTTTGTGTCAGGAGACTTGAGTAACTGCAAGTTGCTTCTGTGTGAGAGAATTGGCTGTCTGCAAGGATGTTGCCCAGGGGAACGCCTGGATGTTTTACCATCCTGTGGGAGGCTCCTCTCATGCCCCCACATGAAAAGCTGGAGCTGATAGACAGAGCAATGTCGGAGTTGCGACCTTTTGTAAATCATAGAATCATAGAATCAAAGAGTTGGAAGAGACCATGGGCCATCCAGTCCAACCCCCTGCCAAGAAGCAGGAATATTGCATTCAAATCACCCCTGACAGATGGCCATCCAGCCTCTGTTTAAAAGCTTCCAAAGAAGTAGCCTCCACCACACAGAGAGTTCCACTGCTGAATGGCTCTCACAGGAAGTTCTTCCTCATGTTCAGATGGAATCTCCTCTCTTGTAGTTTGAAGCCATTGTTCCATGTCCTAGTCTCCAGGGAAGCAGAAAACAAGCTTGCTCCCTCCTCCCTGTGGCTTCCTCTCACATATTTATTCTCCCCGGATTCGAACCTGCAACCTGTTGGTCTTCAGTCCTGCCAGCCCAAGGGTTAAACCACTGCACCCCCAGAGCTCCTAGTAGTAATGGTAAAAAGTACCTCGACATTATTTGAGCTAATATATTACTCCACTCAATTGTGAAATCTGAGTCCTGAAATGGGGAAAAGGAGGGATAGAAATAATGAAGGTTTTGGTGATGATGATGAAAGCAAGGAGCACATTTGCCTCCTTGACATTTGAGCAAACATATCACTCCACAGTTCTAAAATGTGTAACCTGAAAGTGGGAAAGAGGGGGAGATAAATGATGTGGTTGATTATTGTAATAGTAGCAGTAATAATTATAATAAACAATGGCAAGAAGTACCTTTGCCTTCACATTATTTGAGCAAACATATAATGCCATATAGTTCTAAAATATGTCTCCTAAAAAGGGGGATAGAAACTTCATGGTTACTCAGTGCTGTTCAAGCTTGCTAATTGCAACATGCACACTTGCTTCAAACAGACAAGGATTCTTTCTCACACCCTGGACATCATCCCACAGATATATATGTATACACTCCACTTGCTTCACTACCTCTATGCCAGTGTTTCTCAACCTTCCTAATGCTGCAGCCCCTTAATACAGTTCCTGATGTTGTGGTGACCCCCATCATAACATTATTTTCATTGCTACTTCATAATTGTAATTTTGATACTGTTATGAATTGTACCGTAAATATCTGATATGCAAGATGTTTTTGCATTCATTGGACCAAATTGGGCACAAATACCCAATATGTTCAAACTTGAATCCTAGTGGGGTTGGGGGGGGTATTGATTTTGTCATTTGGGAGTTGTAGTTGCTGGGATTTATAGTTCACCTACAATCAAAAAGCATTCAGAACTCCACCGATGATGGAATTGAACCAACCTTGGCACACAGAACTTCCATGAACAAGAGAAAATACTGGGTTTGGTGGGCATTGACTTTGAGTTTGGGAGTTGTAATTCACCTATGTCCAGAGAGCACTGTGGACTCAAACAATGATGGATCTGGACCAAACTTGGCATGGATACTCAGTATGCCCAAATGTGAACATTGGTGGAGTTTGGGAAAAATAGGCCTTGACATTTGGGAATTGTGGTTGCTGGGATTTATAGTTCACCTACAATTAAAGAGCGCTCTTAACCCAGCCCTCAATGGATCTGCACCAAACTTGTCACACTATTGACATTGCCAACATTTAATACTGGTAGGGTTGAGGTGGGGGGCTGTTTTTGAATTCTGGGAGTTCACCAACACCAAAAAGGAAGAGAAGGATAGATGGAGGCACCTAAGATCATCAGAAAGGAGGCACCTAAGACCATCAGAAATAAGACCTACCAAGGAGGCACCCAAAACCATCAGAAATAAGACCTACCAAGGAGGCACCTAAGACCATCAGAAATGTGTGTTTTCTGATGATCTTTGGTGACCCCTCTGAAACCCCTTGTGCAACCCCTCCAGGGGTCCTGACCACCAGGTTGAGAGACACTTTTGGGAGTTGTAGTTCACATACATACATCCAGAGAGCACTGTGGACTCAAGCAATGCCCAAATGTGAACACTGGTGGAGTTTGGGGAAAATAGACCTTGGCATTTGAGAGTTATAGTTGCTGGGATTTATAGTTCACCTACAATTAAAGAGCACTCTTAACCCAGCCCTCAATGCAGCTGCACCAAACTTGGCACACTATTGACATTGCCAACATTTAATACTGGTAGGGTTGTGGTGGTGGTGGTGGTGGGGGGTGTTTTTGAATTCTGGGAGTTCACCAACACCAAAAAGGAAGAGAAGGATAGATGGAGGCACCTAAGACCATCAGAAATAAGACCTACCAAGGAGGCACCTGAGACCATCAGGTTTTCTGATTATCTTTGGTGACCCCTCTGAAACCCCTTGTGCAACMCCTCCAGGGATCCYGACCCCCAGGTTGAGAGACACTTATCTATAGTTTGGGAATTGTAGTTCACATACATACATCCAGAGAGCACTGTGGACTCAAGCAATGATGGATCTGGGCGAAACTTGGCATGGATACTCAATATGCCCAAATGTGAACACTGGTGGAGTTTGGGGAAAATAGACTTTGGCATTTGAGAGTTATAGTTGCTGGGATTTATAGTTCACCTACAATTAAAGAGCACTCTTAACCCAGCCCTCATTGCATCTGCACCAAACTTGGCACACTATTGACATTGCCAACATTTAATACTGGTAGGGTTGTAATGGTGGTGGTGGTGGTGGGGGGGTGTTTTTGAATTCTGGGAGTTCAACAACACCAAAAAGGAAGAGAAGGATAGATGGAGGCACCTAAGACCATCAGAAATAAGATCTACCAAGGAGGCACCTGAGACCATCAGAAATGTGTGTTTTCTGATGATCTTTGGTGACCCCTCTGAAACCCCTTGTGCAACCCCTCCAGGGGTCCTGACCCCCAGGTTGAGAGACACTTTTGGGAGTTGTAGTTCACATACATACATCCAGAGAGCACTGTGGACTCAAGCAATGATGGATCTGGACCAAACTTGGCATGGATACTCAATATGCCCAAATGTGAACACTGGTGGAGTTTGGGAAAAATAGACCTTGGCATTTGAGAGTTATAGTTGCTGGGATTTATAGTTCACCTGCAATGAAAGAGCACTCTTAACCCAGCCCTCAATGCATCTGCACCAAACTTGGCACACTATTGACACTGCCAACATTTAATACTGGTAGGGTTGTGGTGGTGGTGGTGGTGGTGGTGGGGGGTGGTGGTGTTTTTTAATTCTGGGAGTTCACCAACACCAAAAAGGAAGAGAAGGATAGATCGAGGCACCTAAGACCATCAGAAATAAGATCTACCAAGGAGGCACCTGAGACCATCAGGTTTTCTGATTATCTTTGGTGACCCCTCTGAAACCCCTTGTGCAACCCCTCCAGGGATCCCGACCCCCAGGTTGAGAGACACTTATCTATAGTTTGGGAATTGTAGTTCACATGCATACATCCGGAGAGCACTGTGGACTCAAGCAATGATGGATCTGGACCAAACTTGGCATGGATACTCAATATGCCCAAATGTGAACACTGGTGGAGTTTGGGGAAAATAGACCTTCACATTTGAGAGTTGTAGAACTGGGCCAAACTTCCCATGCAGGAACCCCATGACCAACAGAAAATACTGTGTTTTCTGATGGTCTTTGATGACCTCTCTGACACCTCCTCGTGACCCCCTTGGGGTCCCGACCCAGGTTGAGAAATTCTGCCCTAGGAACTTTCCCAGAACTTTCTGCCTGGGTCCTCCTGCAGAGCTCAGGTCCTCCTTGGGCTACCCTTTCCCATGTTCCCTGGTCCTTCTCGGGCTACCCTTTCCCATGTTCCCTGGTCCTTCTCGGGCTACCCTTTCCCATGTTCCCTGGTCCTTCTCGGGCTACCCTTTCCCATGTTCCCTGGTCCTTCTCGGGCTACCCTTTCCCATGTTCCCTGGTCCTTCTCGGGCTACCCTTTCCCATGTTCCCTGGTCCTTCTCGGGCTACCCTCTCCCATGTTCCCTGGTCCTCACCGGCAATGTCCCAGAGCTGGAGGCGGACGACGGTGCGTGCGTCCCAGGGCAGGACCTTGAGGGCGAAGTCCACCCCGATGGTGGCCCGGTAGTGCGGGGAGAAGTTCTGGTGGACGTAGCGCTTGATGATGCTGGTCTTGCCCACGCCCAGGTCGCCGATCACCAGCAGCTTGTAGAGCCGCTCCTGGGGGCCCCTCGGCGGAGACGGAGGCAGGGGAGCCGGGGAAAGAGGCCGAGGAGAAGGCGAAGAAGGAGGAGGGGGAGGAGAAGGCGGCTTCTTCGGCATCGTCCGCGGCTCTCCGGACGCTTCTGTCCCTCTCCCCGCCGAAGAGGAGGAAGAGGTGGAGGAGGAGAAGAAGGAGCCTCTTCAAGGCGCCCGGGGGAGGGACCTGGACCTCTCCTCTGCCTTGCCTCTCAAGCCGGACCGAGCAGGAGGGGCAGCAGCCAACGGGAAGGGTGGGTCGCTCTACACTCCAGAATCAGTGCCCTTCTTTATATACCACTCTCATCCAGTGGATGGGAGCTTGTGTGTATGCCTGACACATAGCCCGACATTGAGTGGTTCCCTACTTTTGGAGAGCCCACTCTCAAGAGAAGATTTCCACGTTTTACTAACTAGTTGTACCCGCCACGAGTTGCTGTAGCCAACCTTCCCTCTCTCTTTCTCTCCTTCTCTCTTTCTCTCTTTCCTTCCCTGTTCTTCTTTCATAGAATCATAGAATCATAGAATCAAAGAGTTGGAAGAGACCTCATGGGCCATCCAGTCCAACCCCATTCTGCCAAGAAGCAGGAATATTGCATTCAAATCACCCCCAACAGATGGAAGGAAGAAAGATGCTTTTGAACTGTAGTGCTGGAGGAAAGTTCTGAGAATGCCTTGAACCGCAAGAAGATCCAACCAGTGAATACTTCAGGAAATAAAGCCCTGCTGCTCATTGGAGGGAAGGATATTACAGACAAAGATGAAGTACTTTGGCCACATCATGAGAAGAAAGGAAAGCTTCGAGAAGAGAATGATGCTGGGGGGAAAGGAAGGAAAAAGGAAGAGGGGCCGACCAAGGGCAAGATGGATGGATGGTATCCTTGAAAAGACTGACTTGACTCTGAAGGAGCTGGGTGTGGTGATGGCTGATAGGGAGCTCTGGCATGGGCTGGTCCATGAGGTCACAAAGACTTGGAAGAGAGTGAACAAATAAGCAACAAAATGTTTAATTACAAAAATGAAAGTCAAGCACTGAAAGGGTTAAACGAATGGAATGACTGAGCAAAAGCTACAGTTTAATATAAGCAGGTGTGTCTGTAGCTTAGTAGCCTCAGTCTGAGAGAGCCTTCAGTGTGAGAAGGCCTCAGTGGGAGAAGGGCCTCAGTGTGAGGTAAGCCTCAGTATGAGAATCCCTCAGTATCCCTCATGAGATGAAGCTCCAATGGGAAGGCTGCTGTCACTGTGTGTAAAAAGCTACTTTGTGAAGCTCCCATGTAACTTTGGTGTGAGGAGAGGCTCTGTGAGAGCAAAGCTGTTTATCTGCATGAAAAAGAAGCCCAGCATAGAAGCAAAGAAGGAAGTATAAAGAACTTTATTTGTGTTATGGAAACCTTGTTCCTGTAAATACTACAACCATATTATTTTCCTACCAAGATAAGCCTCCTATGGAAGTGGTAACATTGGACTGTGTGTTTTTGTTCTTTTTATTTATTTATTTATTTATTATTTATTTGGTGCATTTATTGACCGCCGCTCTCAGCCCTAGGGCGACTCGCGGCGGTGTACAGCATATAAAAACAGTTTACAAAAACAGAAACAAGCAATCCACACAACAATAATATACAATACTATAAGTTACACTAAATAATCCGCTCCGTCATATCATAGAATCATATCCAATATCGTAGTCCATATTCCGTTCCAGATGTCAATTACCAGTTGCCGTTTTTATCAGTTTGGGCTACTGGTGCTGGGTCACGTTGCTGCTAATAATTTACTCTGCTGTACATTCATGAGAAAGGTCTTTTGTTAATAAGCCCATCCGCCCAAGAGAGCCCATAGCATTGAGCCATGGAAGTTGAAATGGTGTCAAATTGCAGTAATTGTGCATTGTAAATGCACTCAGGTGAGTCAAAAAGTTTGCCCATGCCACCCTCCCATGGCTCAATGCTATGGCAGCTGTACTTTTACAAACCCCTCAGCTTTCCCTGGCACTTCACCAAAAAATAGTCACAAGGATTCCACCCTTTTGACCCATGGAAGTTCAAAAAGTGTCAATCTGTATTCATCCCTCAATGTTGATGCACCCAAAGTCTTGCATAAGGAAAGACATGGAGTCTCCTTAAATCCACAGGAGACCTGAAGGCACACACAAAGTATGAGGGTGGGTCAAAAAGTAATGCCTCAATCGCCCTAACTTTCATTTCATTGACAGCTACTGGACTATCTATGCATGATATGATAGAAGTAACCTTACTCTACTGATACAGTCTTTTCTTTTTCACATCGACTGATTTGAACCATGAATCTGAAGCCAAAATAAAGAGTTGTCATGGATTTCTGGCAATAGAAGGTTGTGGACCAGGGTGCCAGAATGACAAGGAAGGTGGGGGAGGAAAAATTGTCCCTTTGTCACTGCATTTTCTTCTCCTATCACTTTGTCAATTTATCAACAAGCAGTCAACAGGACCCATGCCACACCCACTGGCTGCCACACAAAGAAAATAAGAGTGGACATTGAGTGCAATGTGGGATGTCCAAGTCAACAGTTGCAACCAGGTTCATCATATAACCAGCCAAATTATTTACATGGGCCCAAAATTGTGAGTTGCTCTGGATTCTGGGAAAGGTGGATTAGGCAGGGAGGTACATACCAACCAGAAATGGCATTTGATTGAATATGATTTGTTTTATACTGATGTTTACATCATGCTCCATTTTATTACCAGCAGCTGCTGATGCTATAGCAGCCATGCTAAAGATAAAATTGCCATGAAAGCCAACATTGTGTTTGCTTAATTTTGCACAACGTGATGTTCCCAAGAACAAAACGTGCTGGTATCAAACATCTTGAGAGGACGGGCTTGTTTGTTTGCTTCCTACTTTGTTTTGCAAGACCTTGGGAAATGCAATCAAGTCTTTTGAAATGGACTCAGTTCTGAGTCCGTAAACCAGGGAGGCTCAATTTTATTACTGAAATCAGCTAGCTTATCAAAGGGCTAAAGTATAATTCTTAGTATCAGGCACAGTTTTGTCTCTAGTGAAAATAAATACAAAGAATTAGCTCTCTGCTAATAGATACAGCAGGGTTGTTTAGTATGTCAGCATTTTTTTAATGTAATGCAGTGGAAGCTTTCCCCTTCTTTTCATAGAATCATAGAATCATGGAGTTGGAAGAGCCATCCAGTCCCACCCCCTGCCAAGAAGCAGGAATATATCATTCAAAGCATCCCTGACAGGTGGCCATCCAGCAGCTGTTTAAAAGCTTCCAAAGAAGGAGCCTCCACCACACTCTGGAGCAAAGAGTTCCACTGCTGAACAGCTCTCGAACTCTCTGCCCCGGATTGTGGTGGAGGCTCCTTCTTTCACCAAAGAAGATGTCATATTTTTCTCAATCCCATTGGTAGGCTAACTTTTCATGAAAAACTAGTACTGCAAAAATGTATTTATTATTTATTTACATCACTTATATCCCACCCATATCAGCCCGCAGGCGACTCAGGGCAGTCTACATATTGGCACAATTTGATGCCATCAATACAATACAAAAGCAAAAACAATTAAGTGCATTTAGACAAAAAAGACAGTGCAATAACAATTTAAAAAGAGCTATATCTTCTCATTCCAATCCTCATCTGTTTCATCGTCTTGGCCATTCCTGGGTCACTCTCCATCTCCAAAAACAGTGGGATTTTTAGTTATTTTGGAAGTTTTAGTATATTGCAATGTATTACAGAGAAATTTTATTCAGTGGCTGGGAGCCTGTATATGGTTGTCCATGCTCTTGTTACATCCTGAATAGATTACTGCTACACACTCTATGTGGGGTTGCCTCTGAAGACTGCTCGGAAGCTTCAACTAGTTCAATGGGTGGTAGCCAGATTTCTCACTGAAGCGGGTTACAGGGCACACTCAACTGCTTGTTAATGCCAGCTCCATGGGGTGCTGGTCTGCTACCGAGCACAATTCAAAGGGCTGGCTTTAGCCTATAAAGCCCTAAACAGTTCCAGCCCAGTTTACCTGTTCAAACGTATCTCCCTCTATGAATCATCAAGGAGGTTAAGATTATCTGGGGAGGCCCTGCTCTCGGTCCCACCACCCTCACACAAACAACTTTTGTAGCAACTTCACTAAACTGAGGACAAAGGGAGAAAGTATCAGAAAAAGAAACGAGGACATAAACAGGAGCACAAAAATAGGATGACAGAGGACCACATTAGGGCTGTTTTTTACTAATTGGGACAGTTTCAGGGTATGCATACAGAATACTCACCTGCCATCATATTTTTGTAACAAAACATATTGAACCAGTTTCAGGAAGGTTTTAACCTGTTGCCCACTTTTTTGATCAAAATATTCCCCTGCTGTGATTCATCAAACATAACTACAGTGAAAAGGCGCTTGAATCACTAAATGGGCACTTTATGAATTTGCTGGGAGAAAAGAAAATCTGCATAAATAAATATACAATGGAGCTCTTGTATAATCCTAAACAGCATTTTTCCAACCTCTAACTTCAGGGTCTGTATGACAGACAAATGCACCCATCACAAACATTAAATGTGGATATGTATGTATTTGTGTGGTATCATTTCATTTAAGTTATCTACTTTATGTGTATGTTAAAACACATTCCTAACAAAGTAAAAAAAATGTTGATGTGATTCATATTGGCGTGGAGTGGTCAGTCTTTTCATGGGAGGAGGATTATGCTCAAATGGAGACATTTAATTCTATCCTGTTTAATAGCTCACTTTCTGGAAAAGCTGAAGGGAGGAGGGATAGATGGATGACTTTTGGGAAAGCACACAGACTGATTCTGTTATACTATAAAACGTCTTGTGTATATTGATTTTCTCTATCATATGCTTTTGGTTGGATTGATGTGGTCGCTACTGCATCCTGTCCACCTCAAGACAGCATTAGGCTTTTGAGCTAATACTCTTGGCTAAAGAGGGCTCTTCTGCAATATACTTGAGAGATATGAAAACTTGGATGCCAACTTCATAGACACATTGAATCTTGAGTTGGACCACAAAGATCATATTGAAGATAGAATATTCCACCAGAATATTAGGAAGAACTTCCTAAAATTAGTAGCTATTTGTCAATTGAATGTGTTGCTTTGTTGTATGGCGGGTCTTCTTCTATGGAGGTTCTTTCCCTCAGATCATCCAGCAAACAAAGCAATGGGGCTTGCCTACCATTAGGCCAGGAATGGGTTATTAGTATGAGGTGGAAGGAAGGAATTTTCTGCCCAGGAAACTAACCCTTTCCACTTGCCACAGTAGCTCATTCCTGGCCAAATGGTAGGGCTGGTCCCATTGCTTTGTTTGCTTCTTTGGGGGCAGAATGCTAGAAAGGCCAAACCAATACAGCAATACTGGAGTGGTGTACAGGGAGCGTACAATCCCTCTG